TAGTAGCAGTCGTAGTAGTAGCAGTCGTAGTAGTGGTAGTAGTAGTAGAGATAGTAGTAGTAGTAGTAGTAGTAGTAGTAGTAGTAGTAGAGGTAGTAGTTGCAGTAGTAGTAGTAGTAGTAGTAGTAGTAGTAGTAGTAGTAGCAGTCGCAGGAGCAGTACCATTAGCATTAGCAGTAGTAGTCGCAGTCGTAGTCGTAGTCTCAGCCGTAGCTGGAGCCGTAGCCGTGGTAGCAGTAGTAGTAGTCGTCGTCGTAGTAGTACTAGTCGTAGCAGTAGTAGTCGTATTGGTAGTGGTGGACGTGGTAGTGGTAGTGGTAGTGGTGGCGGTGGTGTTGGTGGTAGTGGTACGTAGTGGTAGTGGTAGTGGTAGTAGTAGTGGTAGTTGTAGTGGTAGTGTTTAAGAATAGTACCAGTAGTAGTCTGTAATAGTAGTCATCGTCGTTGTTGTGGTCGTTCTGCTTGTTGGTGTCGTTGCTGTAGCAGCAACAATAATATTATAAGTACTACTATTACAGCAGCATCATGCATGGGTAGTGGGTTGCTACTGCTGTTTTAGTTGTGGTTGTTGCTGCTGCCGCTGTTGTTGCTGGTGTTGTTGTTGTTGTTGTCGTTGTTGTCGTTGTTGCTGTTGTCGTTGATTGTGGTTGTGATTGTGGTTGTGGTTTTTACTGGTGTGGTCGTCGTTGCTGTTGATGTTGCGGTTTCTGGTGGTGCTGTTGTTCCTGCTGTTGTTTCATTGGTCGTGGTGGTAGCGGCGGCGGCGGTGGTGGTGGTGGTGGTGGTAGCGATTGTGGTGGAGTGGTCGCGGCAATTGTTGTTGTCGTCGTCATCTTTGTCGTTGGTTGCGGTTGTCGTGGTCGTTGCGCAGCTCTTAGCTGGATTGGCTCTCATGGCAGTGCCGAGGCCGGCACCCGGCATCTGGGGAGCTTGAAGCGTCGGCATCGGCAACTGCGCAAATGCTCATTCAAATTTAGTTGGGGCCTGCCCTAAAACCCTAATCTTGAACTTTAAACCGCTTACACAACAGCCTCGTATGCAAAGCCCTCGTTCAACACCCTAAGCCTTAAGCTTTGACGTTTTCGTTCCCCCAGTTTGGGGTTCGAGCTCAAGCGCAGGTCCCAAGACCTCACAAGAAGTAGGGAACATTTGGAAAAGTCTGTCAGCTTGTATGCAAAACCCACCACACCCACCTTTCAATCTGAATCCTCGCCATAGGAGAACCTGAAGTCCTGTTTCTCACCTGTAGAACTCACGTTGAGAGGTCATAAACCCATTAGCAACAACACTCAGCAATCATAATTTAACAACAAATGAACAAATAAAGCAGCAATGATAACCACCATGAGAGTATAGGGACTGCAAGAAGCCGATAACACTGAGAATTATCAAAACAGGCTTCGAGCTGACGGGGTTTTTGCTTTTAGCGGCTTCAAGGCTGCAGATTTGTTAAGGGTTTAGGGGTTTAGGGCTTTATGCTTCTGGTCGAGCTAGCGCAGAACGATTGAAGACCTTTGGATACAGCAGGCAGCCATACCCAAAACCCTAAGCCTTAGTTCAGAACCCCTGAAAACCTAAACCCTAAACCCTAAACCCTACAAGAAACCCTGAGAACCTAAATGAAACACATCCGAGCCTTAACCCTGCTGCCCTGGCCTACAACCTAGACATCCCTGCACGTGCAGCGCGGCAACCCCGTATAATAAGCAATCTAAAAAATGGTTATTGCTAGTAGCAGTCGCAATACCAGTCACAGTAATGAACAGACTTTTTGTTTTTCTGATACTATATTTAACAGCTGATATGGAAAATATTGATAATTCGTTCCATTCAAGCTACAAAACAATAATGGCAACCCTCACAAAATTTGAAGTTACAATTTACAATTCACCAGATAAAAACAATAAGCATATAAGACGAAGAAGAAGAAGAGCACGAACAAAATTAAATACGAATAACAACACTATTTTTTCCTGAGTTACAAACAATAATGAACAGAGTGAGAGCCCCTAAACCCTAAACACTTTAAAACAAAAAACACACACAGAAACGAGTGAGAGCCAACCGCAACAGCAGCCCAGGCCTGTGGCACCTGCAGACCTCGGAAGTTCCATGGGTTGCCCTCCAGGCCAGGGACCTTGGGCGTCAGGTTTTTGAGGGAGTTGGATCTTAGGGTTTGGGGTTTAGGGTTGAGGGAGCTGGATCTTATTGTTTGAAAAGGGGTTTTAGGGGGTTCAGGGCTAGGTTTTACTTGGGGGATCTTAGGGGTTCAGGGTTTCTTGGGATTCGGTGTTGTTGGGTTCGGGGTTGTTGTGCTTTGACGAGGATGTGATGCACAGTGTAGCGCCTGGCCCTCTGCCCGAAAGAATTCGATGGGTTTACGGCTTTCAAGGGTTTAGGGTTTAGGGTTTAGTGGAGGCACTTTCAGGTGAACAGGTAGACTGGGCTATTGGTACATACGTAAGGTCTCGGAGGTATGTCCGGATCGAAAATGCTAACGTCTGTGATTCGAGACAAGCTTGGGGCGCATGTGCCAAAGCGGCTGTACATGATCGACTTTCCCTTGTTTTACCCATGCCAAAGAGCATTCCTACTTCGGCTTGCCTGCCTGCCTGCCTGCTGGCCTGCCTGCCTGCCTGCCTGCCTGCCTGCCTGCCTGCCTGCCTGCCTGCCTGCCTGCCTGCCTTCCTGCATGGATGGATTTGCAAAACCATACAAGAGCTTGAATACAGCTGCATGTGTTGGACCCATATATACTCATATGATCACCAATGCATACGCACAAAGGGTATGCATCGACACACAGATCCAAGCATTCCTCGTCTTCGTTTGTGTATATGCACGAATATATCTCAGCTTGCCTATCTTTCAGTTTATGTACCCAAAACCCAAAACCCTAAACCCCAAAACCCTAAATCCTAAACACTCAAAGCTCACTGTGTCATGAAACTCGGCTTCTCTAGGAGCACTGGAGCCCGAACAGGCGGCATGCCGCAGCCCCCGCACACGCTGGGAAAGGAGGGCGCCTTGCAACTGTGCTCACGCTGAGCTTTATATCTTGTATACAGATATATCTATATACATGGTTACACACATACACATGCACGTGTGATGTTAGTTGCTGGCATTTCTATGTATATATATATATACACAGTCATGTATTTACAAACTTACGCATCTATGTTTCATAGTTTGCAACATTTTTACATTTGTATGATTGAAAGTACGCACTGAAGTACAGTTACATGTTTATATACTTCTACATATGTATACATATTTATATATTTGTAGATGTGCATAATAACTGTATATACAAAACATAAGATGCATTGATAGTATGTATGTTGTTATTGCTATGTTTGTGCTATCGTTATTGTTATTTGCAGTATGAATATACGCAGCAACATTCATGCTGCTTGTTACTAGTTTCGCCATTACCATGATTATTACTATTACGGTTACGATTACTATGACTATGACTATTACTTTCACTATCTACTACTGCTATATCTCACTATTACCCTTACTATGGCTTTTGGATGATGATTGCTATCATTGTTGTCTTTGTTGTTATTGTAACTGTGGCTATCACTGTTCGTCGTCTTCTTCCAAGTATTTGGCATTATTACTGTTACCTGTATTACTTTTACTATATATATATATAGATCTATACACGTATACTTATTTACTTATATTTGTATATGACATAGTAACTATAAAGTTGGGGCTCAAAGTCAACAAGCTTAACCTTCATGGCAGGCACCTAAAGCTTTCGAGTCTACAGAACAGTATGCAGGAAGAAACAATACGGTTTAGGGTTTAGGGTTTAGGGATGATGCAGTAAGGGCCTTTTGCAGCCTGACCAGTTTCCTATCCTTTCCAAACTTCAACCACCGGCTCGGTGGCTGGAAATTATCCAGACTCCAATCCCAAAGCCCCCAGGTACCTACTATATAGAGTACTAGAGCCCCTAGTGCCCTGTACAGTAGGTACCTGGAGGGTTCGGGGATGCCTCTCAAAAATCTCAGGAATGAAGTGCTGGAGGTGGCGGGGATGGGGGCAGTTGCTACTCCGATATGTCAGGTGCGTGTTGCGATGTTTTGATATTGTAGCCTGGGTTGACAACAAGTTTGGGTTAGTGAAAACGGTCAGGGCCTGCGGGGCGAGATTCAAGTTGCGATTATAAAGCACCGGGTTGTAACGGAGCTTACATGCCGATGCACAGGACTAAACAGCACCACCGGAAGCAACACCTAACCAGAGCCTGTTAGCAAGACGAGGAATATTTAGAACTGTCGATAAACATATGATAATAACCATCGTCATCATCATGTTGTGTCAGACAGCTATGCTACTTACCGCAAAGGCAGCAGCAACAAGCACTACTTGCATGTAGTCTTGGTGCGACCGTTATACTTATCACAAATCACCACAATGATGACGCTGCTTACTGCTTGCGCTGTTGAATCCGCTGCCACATCCTGTTCTGACAGGGTGCTGGTAGACTCCCACCACATGGGCAAGGGCCACCAAACCTTGGCGGAAGCTTTTCTGATTCGAAGGCTCGAAAGCCACGGCGAGAGGTCGGCTGAAGGTAAAGAATCCCTCCACCTTTTTTCGACATGACAGAACAACTCAAGGCCGGCCCAAAGCTCAAAACGTGCAATGCCGTCACACTGCTCGATAGGTGGCATAGCATGTGAGATGCAGGCGGCATGACACCTGCAGGAGCAGCACCTGGACGATCCATGGGTCGTGATGCCACAGAGACTGCTCTTAACCATCTCAGGCTCGACTGAAAGGTATGCAGATGTTGGGTGGCTAAGATCATCGGAAGGCCTGTGTGACTGCAGTGATGCTTATTTCGCACGCTACTGCCGCCTCAACGACCATGCTGACGAATTGCACAGCATCCTTTTGTATGTTTCCATCTGCAGCCCATTAGCGAAGTCTACATGTTTTGGGGAGGTGGAACACAACACAAACTCGTGTTGACATCACCCGGCTCTCTTTGTAATTTTTTGCCCGAACTGAAACGGTGCAGATTAAGGTTGAGGTCGTGCTTGCTACTCAGGATCTTTCGAACAGGTTGGGCTTATTCTTCAAGACGCCAGGACTTGATTGACGCATTCAGGGCAGAGACTGCAGAGTGATTAGTGCTTAGGTTCAGGGTTTTAGGTCTGCAACTTGCAGCGCAATGAGTGAATAGCGGACTCGGTAGCCCTGGAGCGAAACGCAAGTCATCAGCTGTAGCATGATGACGCGGGCCATGTCGATCCGCTGTCGAGGTATCTAAACCGAAAGCATCGAACAGTCGGAATCCACAAACGACAAAGCATGTGGTTCCTGACGAACATGGCTCAAGGTAGGGCCGGACCATTTATATACACAGAATGAAGCGGCACACCAGGAAAGTATTAGTATTCGTCAGCTCCTTCAGATACCGAAACGCAATCTCTCCGCGGAACCATATACCGTTGAGTTGTATGTCGCTGCCGTACCTTCGAAAAGCCTTGCATTGAAATGAAAGCATCGGGGACCCAATGCACTCGGTATATGCTTCGGCCTCCAGTCGAGAAGGGGCGGGGATTGCACCCACCTGCCGCTGGCTAGACGGTTTCGAGTTTCAGGATACACGAAGGTTCGTCTGACCAAGCTGGAATGTTGAGGTTGCAAGATTCAGATGGTGATTTTTTTGCAACTGTACACTGTACAGCCCGGGCTTGAGCAAGCCATGCGGGAACGAAGAAAACGCACCGTTCAAGGATGGACACCCTGGAACACTGAATCTGAGCTTTCGGTTGCGCATATGTTGGAACAGAACCTCTTGCTTTAATTTGCGTTGACGAGCAACAGGCCATGATGATTCGCCGATACCTTTGTGAGAACTTGTCCCCCTGCCCCCGGCCCCTGGACACTTCTGCACTTCTGGAACCCTCAGCGGAAATTTCCCCAGTGCTGGTGCCTGGCCCAGCACAGTGCCCTAGTGGCAGTGGGGAGGCGGAGCTACCTCAAGAGATGGCACAATTACTCGGCAAGTCTGCCCACTGGCCTACATCACACGAAAAATACGTTAGACATCACAGCAAAGGCGAAGTTGAACGCACATGCCTGGCCGAGGTGGACGACGAGAAGCATTTACAATTATGATGGCAATATTTGTCATGATGAGCGGCAGCAGCAGCAACAGTGGTAGCAGTGGTAGTAGTAGCACTGGTAGCAGTACTAGCAGCAGCAGCAGCAGCAGCAGCAGCAGCAGCAGCAGCAGCAGCAGCAGAAGCAGCAGTAGAAGCAGCAGCAGCAGCAGCAGCAGCAGCAGCAGCAGCAGCAGCAGCAGCAGCAGCTGCAGTAGTAGACTTAGTAGACATTGGAGCAGGCACTAGCAAAGCCATCAACATACATCAACTTCCCACCATGTATGCTGGACAACATCGAAAGAGAGCCATTCTTCATGTAGGCGAAAGGAAGTACCCGCTCAAGACACGATATCGAAGGCAACACAACGCACCCGAAACAGCCATTCCCTGTGTAAACTCTCGATCTAGCCGAACATGCGCTCAAGAGACAGTAACCGTGATGCGACGCGCATGAAAACCACCAAGCAGATGGCCTGTGGACAACACACCCAACCAACAACCGCATAGAGCACGAACATACAAAATCCCAGCGTGGCGCCGCCTAAACAAGCATGCAAGATGTCAACACAGCAGTTGATTGGAGGGCATGGTTGTGGTTTTGCAGTGGCTCCGGGTCAAGCTGGTAGCGCCCGGCCAAGCTTTGCCTAAGTTGGACTTTAATTTGAAACAGCCACCGTTTAAACTGCGATAGGCTTTCTGTACAGTAACCCTTTCATGAACATCTTGCAAGGCTGCTATATTTATTGTTTAGTATGGAAGCTACTTTGTGCACCATTCGTGCGGCACGTAGTCAGCGAAGCTTGGACATGCTTTATAAGACGGAAAGAAGGAAAGTTGATTGCATGAAATGACCATGCCAGCATTTCCGCAAGGTGGCGCTGTGCAGCGACGGTTGAAGGCCGTTTGCCAAGTGTACGCAGATTCATGACGGTACCGTGGATACCCGTCGCTTAACTGTTAGGATGAAATCAGCTTATGCGGCAATTCTCCAAGTGTACGCGCTGTTGCGGCGCCTTTTCCTAGGCGGCGACACCTCAGGGTAGCCCGCTGACCAACCCCAGCCGCTCCTTATCTGATGGTTTCTGAGCCCTACAAACCCTACAAACCATAAAGCGTGCCTACCTTTCTCTTTCCTGGTTCAATGACTTTCAATTCGAGTTGAGACATAGCTATGCACAAAGCCGGAGTGGAGCCCTCCATGCCACAAAACCCTAGTTAAATCCCAAGTCCGCAAACCCCTACGCCAACCCGATAGCCCCATTAAACCTCACCGGTCCCTGGCCATAGCCTTTGAATCCCTGAACCCGACAAACAAGCCGCAAGAACCCTCAGCTTCGGGCCCACGGTATGCGCCATCGCTTGACCCAAGGGCTGCCCCAGGGGGGGACCCAAGGCCGGCAGAGAACTCGGAGAGCCCACCGTCAGCGGCCTCGGTTTGCCATACACCGGAAACTGCAGCCCAGAGAAGGAGAGGTCATAGTAAAGGAACCCGGGAAAAAGGCGGGTTTCTTAGGGTTATGCGGAAGAGATACAAGTTTCTTTTTTTTTTTTTCATCTTCGTTGGTGGTCATCATGGCATGTCTGGAACATCGAATTCTACAAAGGGATTTCTTCAGGACCATGACAGTCCCTTCTGTTCTGTGTATACTCGACCATGGCATACTTTCAGAAGGGGCTTTACAGGATGTCTTTCGACTTAGGGTCACTAGTGGGCCGCTGCTTCCCTGAAGCTTTATGTTGCGATCTGGTGACGAAGGCGGGGTATCCTTCCGCCTGCTGCAAGTGCAGCAAGCAAGGGCGCAGCAAGTTTGGCAATTCCAAAGTCTAAAGGCGAAGCCCCCAAACCCCAAAAGCCCTGACGGCTAAACTCGAAACGTCTACCCAAGATCAGCCCTAAACCCCAAACCTGACTACCGACTGGGCTCCATTCCCTAGCGGCCGCGGAGGAGGAACCCAAGAGCCTGCATCGAAGGAACGGCAGAGTCTCAAGCCAGTCAGAAGAGCTCTGGGTAGGGTTTAGGGTTTAGGGTTTAGCGTTTAGGGTTTAGGGTTTAGGGTATAGGGTTTAGGGTTTAGGGTGAAATGTCAGTTACAGGAGGGCCTGATAGGACTATGAGAATGGGAATACGACTGCCCTATATGCTTACGGGTCATGGCAGTTCCAGCTCTGGAGTAGGGCGTCTGTACACTCAACCGACTCAATCCCAAACCCACAGGAAAGCACTATAACTATAAGCCTGCCACTCATGCAGAATGTGGGTGCACTATGGTTTTTTTCACGGGCAGGCATGTAAACACCAGGAACCTTTCCGAAAAGGCTCATCCTACCGGTACAGGTTTGTGCTTGTGAAGCAAAATGTCAGGTTTTCAGTTCTGCACTGGGTATTCTAGGATTCCATGGGTCATTCCAACTCATGTACAGAGTAAGAACTAAAAAAAAGGCTGCGAGTCATAATGCTGCTCCCAGTGTTCGTCTCACGCTTCTGAGACTGGACTTACAGGTTCCGGCTTTGGGCTCATATGGCTCGGGAGTTGAAGGTACATACCCCTAACCCTCCAGGTACCTACTATATAGGGCACTAGGGGCTCTAGTACCCTATTTAGTAGGTACCTGGGGGCTTAGGATACTCTCCCAAAACCTTGATCATCAAGAGTAGACTCCCTGAGCCAGAGTACCCATTTTTTATGGACGGCGCCGAACCTGGACTGTATTCGGCTCTGAACAACCTTAACGACCTCAATGTTGAAAAGACATCCGAAGCTGTACCTCCCGAACTCCATCCCAAATCTGAAAAGTCGATCCCACAAAATCCTGAAAGCCAAAGCTTTCTTGAAAGTCCTGAAACACGGTTTGGGCGGGGGTGACTATGCTGCCCGACCTGTAGTAGAGGTCATAACCGGCGGCGGCGTGTAGGACGCCGAAGTCGTGAACACCGGCGGCGGGACGTAGGAGCCTGTATTGGGTTATGTGCATAGGGAAAGAACTTTGGAGCGCTGGGGGAAGTCGGGGAGGAGGGTGGGGGGACAAGTTTCACGGCTGGACAATTTCTTCGTAGCCTGTGATGTTCAACTTGGAAGTTCGGGATCTAATGTGGGGTCTCAGAAGTCTTGTATCTTCGGAATTTCAGCTATTCGGGATCGATGCTCTTGCAGCCACCCGAACTTCGGAGGTCCCAGAAACCACTCCGTTGGCGAAATCATGGTGTACTGATGACGTGCTTCAGGATTTTCCAAAGCTACGGGATGAGGGTCTGTGCTTGCTGAGGGTTGCGATAAAGCTGCGACTGCATCGAGGAAGCATTGCAGCAGCTGACTCGTCAGAGGCCATACCGGCCAATGCACCACTCCAATGCCAGGCATCAGGAAGATACAAGCACGCATTTGGTGAGAAGCAATGATCAGATGGTTACATCTGAATAGCACAGTGAAGCATTGATTAGTGGCCCCGTCACTGCCAGGAACCAGAAGGGTGTAGTGCAGTATTCCCGTGCTTTTTTGCTTGAAGTTATATGGGACCTATCTAACTTGCTTATGCCTTTCCAAGTCTTAAGAACCCAATGGTAAGCGCCTTTACGCGAAGGGCGTGCCATGTTGCATCCTAAAGCAGATAGCGAAGATGCGCATTTTCGGCCCAAAGTAGCAACACCAGCAGTTATACTTTCTATGCGAGGCAGCAGCCAGTGCACTTTTCGGAAATCCCGGGACGTCGTGGCTGGAGGTAACTTAATTTGGACACCATTCTCGAGGCGAGGTTGGTCACATGCTTTCACGGTAATTCCGGCGAAGGATTGATCTACCCGTAGGCCCCATAGTAGTTCCTTTTTGGGGTTACCTTATGGGATTCTATATATATGAACCCCCAAAAGGAACTACTTTGGGGCCTATGGGTACTCTTCACGGCCGACATGTCCTCACAATCCACTGTCCGGCTACACATAGATTTCTGCTCGGACGACGTGGATGGTCGTGCGGGTTTTTCTGTCGATGGAATTTCTGCGGAGTGGATTTGCGCGCGGGTTTTGATGTAGCGTGGTGTCAAAGAATTGGTGTGGAATTTGCGCGGATGTTTATAAGAGCCGCTTGTAATCTGTACGAAAGTTCACCGAAATTTCACGCGAAAACCCGCGAGGTCGTCGCCGCGGAGCGAATCAAAAATCCAAGAAGCACAAATTTCGCCGAAGACACTGCATGAATGAACCCTTGTACGGCTCGTCGAACAACTTGAGGCTGAGAAACTTTAAGCAGAAAGGTTCGTGGTCGTCTCCGGTATGCAGTCCACAGAGCACTGGCGCAACAGTGGTTGAAAGGGTCCAGCACCAGCCCTGAAGCAGGCTGTCGTTGTCTCAACACGTTTTAAACGCTGCAAGCAGCAAGCACATCCGACGGCTGGCATTCTTGCTACATGACCGGCTGCATTGCGAAAGAGAGCAAAAGTCTTCCAAGAGACCCTCTAACGGTGTCAACTCAGCATGTCTTTGGACAGTCACGTTCGGCGATCATGCTACTCATTGTGCTCAGCAAGCTTCTCCCGCAGTGAATTGCACTTCATGCTGGATGCATGTCTTGCACAAGACCATATCGTATAAATAATTCTCAAAAGTACAAAAGTTCACGCGAAATCTACTCAGTCAAAGAACGCCCTATCATTAGGAACACATAGTTACGTAATGTTGGATCTATTTATGCTATTTTGCATCTTTACAATGTATGGTAGCAGCCGCTAAGTTGGTATATAGATGTGCACCCAAGTTTGCAGCACCCCCACGAAATGCATAAAATGCATCTAGTCTTCCGGTATTGGGTTTGAGTAGGCACAAAAGGACAAAGGACGTATCCAATGGTCTTTGCTGCGAGGTGGAACTTCCAGAATCTGGCTGCCGAACATAAAGTTGGAACATTCGGACTTGAGGATTCATGGCTTGGTAAGTAAGGTTCCGGGTTCAGGTGATTCATTGTGACATGGAAAACGAATAACAAGATATGGTCCAATACCGAAACGTAAAGTTGGAAGATGGGACCAAGTCAGAGCAAAACTTGGACAATGCCGTTGCCGCATCAACCATTGCAACTGCCACCTTCCAACTTTCCGGCGGCTACTGTACTGTATAATATATATATATATGTATATATATATATATGTATATATATATATATATGTATGTGTGTATATATATATATATCTGCCATTACCGACCTATCCTGCTGAAACTTTGCATGCAAGGCACCGCTGCGCCCGGTCGCAGTTGGCCTGGCATGGAAACCACGGAAACCCCTCCACATGGTGGGGTCACGATGCTGAGAGGCGATGTGGGCGTTCGCAGAGGACCACACGACTTGTAACCAACACATCACATTGCAGCATTAGCGCCCGTCTTTCCTCAAGCCTTATTTCTAGAAATACATGTATATACATATATATATATATATATCTATGTATCGGGTGCAGCTGGAAACGAAATGTTGGCCAGAGTTCTTCATAATCCGTACGCACGCAGACCGGCGACCTGGCTCCAACCGGTACAGTAAGGTCCAGAAGGCATGCAAACTTACTCCTAATATAGGGGCCTTATATAATAATTAGAATAGGGTTTGGGGGCCCATTATACTATAATTATAGTAAAGAGCCGCCAAAATAGTATAGGTAATTATTTAGGCCCCTACATTAACACCTGCAGCTCCATACCACCCGCGCGGTGAGACAGGCCCACAGCCCAGAATCCCCTAAAACCTAAATCTTATACTCCTAAACCCAGCATGTTTCATTGGCTCACGGCCTAAAGGCATGGCCTGCATAGATGTCAACCGTGCTGAGCGAAGGTCTCGGGCTTGGGACATCTTGAACATGAAGATCCCGTTAATCACAGACTCTGAACTTGGAAACAGTCATGCTCCAAAAAGATCCGACGTGTTGCAAAGAAACCAACGGATGTTAAGTTGTTAAAGTTAACTGACTCTCTGTGATTCTGCAAAGGATTGACCTTCACTCAACTTTTAACTGCAAGCCCAAATCGTCCTAAATTCCAAGATCTAAATCCTCCACCCCACAGCCCAACACAAGTCGGCGGGACAAGAGCTGGCACGAGCTGGAGGTGGTCACTGGGGCAGCCTGTCGTGCAGTACCCACTACTTTTGTGCACTGGTGTGTTATGATATCGCTGCTATACTTCTGGTACGTGTACGTTCATTACTGGGTTCTCGCTAATCGTTTCCCCCTAATATTAAACCGGGGGGCTCCCAACAAAAACTCTGAAAGTGTGTTTGTTACTGGGGCATATTCTCATTTCTACTGCCACTTTTGAGGGGTTGTGCGCTTGCTCCTGCTCTGGCTCTTGCTCCCGCGCTGGCTTTGCTCCTTCCTCTGCTGCCTCTCGTGCGCATGCTCCTGCTCTTGCTGTTGCTCCCGCTTTTGCTCCTGCTCTTGCTCTTACTCCCGCTCTTCCTTTGGCTTTGCTCTTGTTGCTTCTCTTGCTCTTGCTGTTGCTCCTGCTGTACTCTAAGGGTATTTGAAGCCTCGAAACCCTCCCCCCTAATTCAGACTGGGTTTTTAAAGGGCAGGGATGATTTCTGGAGGATTCACTCCAATGTGTTTTTATTCTAAGGGGTTGTTTCATGAAAGGGGAAGTCATTAGCCGACCATGAATGTCAATTGTAGTGGTCCTCATCTTCTCAGCAACAGCGGCAGCAACAGTGGCAATGCAGGGCCGTGTTAGCGGTGATGCTGCAGTGGTAGGGGCAGTGGCAGCGGCAACGGGTATTGGAGTGGTAGTGGTAGTGGCGGTAGTGGCGGTGGTGGTAGTCGTCGTGGTTCAGTACTGGTAGTGGTATTCGCCGTGATCTCGCCGTGATCGTGCTAGAAGTAGTGGCAGGGGTAGCGGCTGTCGTGGCATGTAATCAGTAGTACTAGTAGCAGCAGCCCTAGTAGGAGCAGCAGGAGGAGGAGTGGCACCGGTAGTAGTGATCGCCGTCGTCGTTCTCGCAAACATTGAAACACAACAGGCCCAATCACCCACACACAACCCCAATGTCGCACCAGCAGCTAACAGGAGATCGGCTTTGCCGAATCTTACTGAGCTGTCCATGAGGTATGCTGCCTCACAGGCTCTGCTTCGTAAATTAACGCTGCCCAAGAAGCATAAAGCTTCTCTTGAGCGCTCTCTCACTGCAACTCCGAAAACGCTCCAAAAGGTCAGCGGGAGCCTCTGGATTCATCGCTGCTGCCTCAGCCCGGTCTAGAGCAAGCAGCTGGCTAGCAGTAGCGGCAGCGGCAGCAGCAGCCGCAGTAGCAGTCGTAGGAGTAGTTGGAGTAGAAGTAGGAGCAGGAGTCCTGAGTAGGAGCAGGAGTAGGACTAGGACTAGTAGTAGTAGTAGGAGTCGGAATCTCGTCGTCGTTGTAGAAGTGGTGGTGGTGGTAGTAGCAGTAGTAGTAGCA